TCATCCCCATAGGGAATGTGGTAATTATACTGACTAACTATTCATTAATTTAGTTAGTTGTGTCTAATTTAAAATAGTGTTGAGAAAAGTAAAGTATACATATATAAGACAGTTTTTTAGACCAAAATACATGGGTTGTTGATTTGTACAGATTAAAAACTTAAGTGACTACACATTATTTACACGAAAAATGAGGTTTGGAGGCAGGGAAAAACTTTCAATAACACTCATTCACAAAGGCAGGACTCGCCTGCTGGACTGAGACGTGTCATAAAAGGCAAAGAGAGTATGAAAATATCAGATAGTCTCGAGTTGCCAGTTTTGAGCACCCTCAAAGCACGAAATTTGAACCAAAGTACAGGAACTTCCAATTCCATAACTTCGGTATAGTCGTCATCTGCTTCTTCTCCTACTAGGGCATTTCAGGCATAAATCCAAGGAAATATTCCATTTCGTTAAACCTGCCACAGATGTGTTAAAGGTAAAGTCCACTTTGCTTAGTGGGAGTTCCAAATGAGATCCTCCTGGTGTGGCCCATGAAGGGTGTTGTGAACCTCAAAGAGGGAGTCTCAAGTCCTGCTTGTCTACCGCACATGGCCTAGCTCACCACGGGCTGAATAGAAACCAGGTCAAAAGTGCTCAGTTAGGAACATGATAGCAGGCTGATTCTCCCTTTGAGGATCTACTATGTACTTAATGGTAAGTGTATAGCATGTTGCTCCATCTGGTTTACCTACCAATAGAACTTAATTACCTTCTCTGGGACAGACATGCCATTTCCCTTCTTGAGTTGAATTTCCTGTAAGGCTCACTAATTACTCTTGTAGTGATTTGGGGTGACTGTAGAACAACGTTACATAGCAGGAACTGCTTGGTCTTCTTCCTCTCCCCCCATCATGAGAAACCGGCCCAGCTGAGAGAAAGCCTCCCCGTTGAGGTGGTTTTTTAAAGATGTACAAATAAGGGGGTGCAAATGGTTCCTTGGGAGACTGGATTGGATTAGACGACCTGAGCACAGAAGTCTGCCTTTGCCGTGGTGTTCATCTTTATAGAAGTGGTCTTATTCAATAATTGTTCGTTTGTGAGTGGCTAATTTCACTCGGCATAAGGGTTTCCAGGTCTATTCCTTTTTCATAGTAGTTAAATTCAAGGAATGTTCTCCAAAGTTTCAAGTAGCTACAGCAAGAGCCCGTCACTCACACCTCAACCACAGGGCCTGAGTTGTGCTTCCTCTGGCCTCTGTGTTTTTGCTGCTGTAGCTCGTATCGCCTGGAACCGCTCCATGCTGTAATTCCTCCACGTGACTTTGCAGTTTGAGTCCAGTCTCTTAGCCTTCCAGAGCCACACTGCCCTGACCTGGAAAAGAACTTTCATCATTATCTTCGCTTCCTTATCTTACAGGGTTTTATGAGACTGGAATGCAGTGGCACATAGGAAAGCACATGGAAAGCAGGAAAATGGATCCTTTCTGGTCTTTTCACTAGCTGGACTCAGCATGCTCATTCACAAAGTGAAGGGATTAGACGAGATTAGGTGCTGCATGACATACACTCAGGCAAACACATACACTCATGGCCCCAACCCCCATTATACCTATCGTATTAAAAATTGGGGGTGTATACAATGATTGATAGTAAAAATGGGTGCTGTTTTATGGTGCGCATCAAATGTTATTATTATTTTATTATATGTGAATATAGTGTATATGAAGGTATTTCTTTGATGCTTTTTTGTGCATACGAATGGGCACAATCTATAAGGGGGCTTCAAGAAGTTTGCGGGCGGGGGG